TTGTGTTTATTGAAGGTTTGGTGTGCACATTATTTTGTCACTCAGGTAATAAGCATAGTACCCAATAGGTAATTTTTCAATCCTCTCTGTCCTCCAACCATCCACCTTCAAATAGGCCACAATGTCTGATGCTCCCTTCTTTATGTGCACGTTAAGCTCTACTCCCACTTATAAGTGAGAATATCCAATATTTGGTTTTCTGTTCCTGTGTTAGTTTGCTTAGGATATAACGGCATCCTGTTACATACATATTGCTGCAAAGAACATGATCTCATTCTTTTTCATGGCTGCATAATATTCCACCATGTATGTTATTTACCTAATCCACATTTGTACCCACAACCCTGACTTTCATCCACTTACTTTATTTATTTATTATTTTATGGCACTTAAAAATGGTTGACATGCTAATTTTTTACTTGTTTATTTGCTTATTTTTTGTCCCTCTCCACTAGAATGGGTAGTGAAAGGAAAGAGACTTTTTTTTTCTGTTCACAATGTTTTGGATGATAAGTTGCATATGGTGGGTTCAATAAATATTTCCTGGCTTAATTAATAAACCTTTTGGAAATCCTATTCCCGCCACCAGTTAAATAGGACCCAAAAAGAATCTTGCAGATTTATTAAGCAAAATATAACTATTATCCTGTTTTAATTCGGAGAACTTATGTCAAAAAGCACACTTCCAATAGTCCTGTATCAAGCCTTCTCTAGTATAAATATAAATATGATGTAGAATAACTATATTCTATATTAACTACAATAATAATGTTAAACTCTCTGTGAATGTTATTCATGAAAAATGTGAAAATTTGCAATTATTAAAAATTGTATTTATAAAAAGTATTGAGTAATAAGAGAATAAGATCATTTGTACAATCATTTTAACTTCATGATGAAGTTAACATAATATAGTCTTTATAGTAACTGAAATACTTAAAAGTTTATAATATATATATCCATGGTATAAATGACATTTTAATAAACATTTTAAAAAATTCCCTACATTCATTCTCATTATAAATATACTTTTGTTTGTTTCTTACTTTTTTTAACAAGATACATTGTAGGATTTGGTGTTTTTGTACATCATACATTCTCAGAGTTTAGAAATGATGACTCCACTCCTGTCTCCAAAGGGGGCCCCTGGATGCTTTACCAATCCATATAACAATATTCCTTCCTTGTACAATGGTTGGTTTGAGGACAGGGATATAATCTAATTTAAGCCAATCTGCACATGATATTCCTTAGACATCAGAGATTATTTCAGAGTAAGTCAATGAACAAATTGGTCCAATTAGAGGGAAGCCTGGGACTTGTGCTTGATGGTTCTAGGTAGCTATGTGAGCTTGTGAGCTCAAGAAATTTTGTAACACTTGCATGCACTACTATAAGGAACTCCGCCAGAAGATACATCTTAAGACAAAGCAAAGAAGAACCTAGAAAATGAAAGAGAAATCAAGCAGAATATCTGATGAAGTTATGACTGAAGCTTGTATATCATGGCCTTTCTAGTATGAGAGCCAACTTATTTTCGGGTTTTGTGCTTTATTTGTTCAGGACAGTTTGAGGTGGGTTTTTTGTTGTTGTCAGCCAAGTATCTACCATATTTCTATAACTTCTGTAAGTTTTCACACATATGCAAATTTAAAAATTGACACAGAACTGCAGATTTACATGAATGGTAATCCTGTCAGACTCAATAATGCAATTCTGCAACAGACAGAGATAGAGCTAAAGTAGCATATGCATGCTTCTTCATATATATATATTTACATTAAAATTATATATTAAGTAACCAAGGGAGAAAAGATGCCCTATTGTTTTTAATGGAGTATTTTCTGATTCCTATGAGATTATTTTCTTTCTTTAAGTGCTAATGATTCTGCTCAGCATTGTCATTGCCTTTAAAAGAAAAAGTTATCAATATTTAAAAAGTCACTTTGCATGAGCAGACACTTTTATAAAGAAGACATTCATGCAGCCAACAAACATGAAAAAAGCTCAACAACACTGATCATTAGAAAAATGCAAAGCAAAACCATCTGAGATACTATCTCATGCCAGTCAGAATGGTGATTATTAAAATGTCAAGAAACAATCCAGATGCTGGTGAGATTGTGGAGAAAAATGAACACTTTTAGACTGCTGATGGAAATGTAAATTAGTTCAACGATGTGGAAGATGGTGTGGTGATTCCTCAAAAATCTAGAAACAGAAATACCATTTGACCCAGCAATCCCATTACTGGGCATACACCCAAAGGACTGCACACCATTCTATTATAAAGATACATGCACCCATATGTTCATTGTAGCACTGTGCCCAATAGCAAAGACATGCAATCAACCCAAATGCCTATCAGTCATAGACTGGATAAATAAAATGTGATATATATACACCGTGGAATATTATGCAGCCATAAAAAGAAATGAGATCATGTCCTTTGCGGGGACATGGATGGAACTGGAAGCCATTATCCTCAGCAAACTAATGCAGGAACAGAAAACCAAATGCCACAGGTTCTTACTTATAAGTGGTAGCTGAATGATGACACATGGACACATGGTGAGGAAGAACACACACTGGGGCACGTCAAGGAGACAGGGGGAAGGATAGCATCAGGAAGAATAGCTAACAGATGTTAGGCTTAAACCTTAGGTGACAGGTTGATCTGTGCAGCAAATCACCATGGCATACATTTACGTACGAAAAAACCCTGCATATCCTGCACATGTACCACAGAACTTAAAACAAAAGTTAAAGAAGAAAAATGGATAAAAATAATAAATGAGATTAGGCATTTGGCACATAAAATTTTTTTTAATTAAAAAAATAAAAAGTCACTTTGTAGAATGAAATTTGCAGATTACTTACAGTGAAAGAACGCTTTGTTCCCCTCTACTATCCATTAGAGTTGGGTCACTAAAAAAAAATGTTTTCATATCCAATTCATGAAAAAATGAGTGTGAAAAAAAATAAAAAGAAAGAGAAAATATAAAAGTAATTAGACAATTAGAATAGAAATATTCTTTGGATTATTCACTGTTTTACTTTATCCTTTTTTGAGAAGCTAATTGGGAAATGATTACATTCTCAGAATTCCTAGAGATGCTGCAGATGGCTTTAAAAATATTCTCAAATTAAAACACAAGTTACGTGTGTGCTCTGGCAACAGTAATCATAAAACTTTACTTCATAAGTTCACTCATTAAAAAAAAAACTTTTATGTTCATGGGTAGATGTGCAGGTTTCTTATACAGGTAAATTAATGTCACAGGGGTGTGTTATACAGGCTATTTCATGACCCAGGCGCTCAGCCTAGCATCCAACAGGTTTTTGTGTTGTTTTTGCTCCTCCCCTTTCTCCCAGCCTCCACCCTCAGGCGGGCCCCCGTGTCACAAACTCACTCTTATTTTCACTGAGATAATCCTATGAAAAATATTTTATTCTATTGAAAAGCTACTTTTTATAAAAGTTCTCATCCTGAGTATTATATTCTAATAAATAGCAACTAAAAAGACAAGAAACAAATGCTCATAATTAGATATATCTTGCTGTAATTTATATTTCTTTTATTCACATTATACAAATAAATATTTATACCAAGTTGTAACATTCAAAATTTTATGAAAACAGATGTAAATAAAATTGTAACTTTATCAAACATTAGACTAGGATCCAGGAAACCTCTTTACTACGTCAGATTCCACTTACTGTAAGATTAAACAGGGAAACCGTTCACCATATATTTCTTTAAAAATGACTGGCATAACATTTGCCATCTACTAGAGTTGCTTTAAGAATTACTTAAGTCAGACATTTATGTACTCATGAAAATTGTCAAATGCTTTTAAGGTAGCTATAATCTACATTTCCAAACCAACTTCGTTTTTCTCTCTCTTGAGTGTTTCTGTAACAGATTTGCCTGTGTTGCGGTAGAAAAACACATACTGCCTGAGTGCTCTGATGATGTTACTTCTAGAGCCTTTCCTGGTACAGCTTGTTTTGACCTAGGACAAATCACTGGAACCATCTGGTCTTTGGTTTCCTCATTTTTCAAAGGTTAGAGAGGAAATATTTGGATTGGATGAATGCAAAGAGTTTTTTTCAAGACTCTAACACTAAAATGGAATCTTACACATTGGTTAGTCCCAAGAAAGTAAATAATAAAAAGGAAATTCATCTGCATATGATGAATTGTAAAGGAATAATTTAACTCTAAATTTACTTTCAACATGATTCCATTAAATGACTTTGGCTATCTTTTTTCTCGTTTAGCAAAATAATATACAAAAAAGTTTATAAAGTAGAATATGTGTATGTTTTCTGTTTTTAGTGATTACTAGGTTTTCAATAATTTCCTATACAGTTTTTTTAGGATGATTTTAAAAGTTTGTTTATATATGTGGACCCTCCATCTCAATGTCCTTGTTCCCTTTGTATTGGCTGTCTCCAAATTCTTCTAAAATCCATGAGAATCCTTGCCTCAGATGACTTGCACTTTTAGTTATTTCTACCTGATAAACTCCTCCTCCTAATTATCACTTACCTGGATCATTTGGATCTCAGTTCAGCTCTCATCTTCTCATTAAATTGTAACTTACTGGCATAGCCATCATTGTCTGTTATAGTCTCTACTATTATTCTCAATATTTATCTTTTCCATTGTGTCTATTGCAAGATAAAATGCCTTTGTGTATTTACTTACTCAACCTTGACAAGAATATATATTCTTTCTGTCTTCTTTACTACAGTGCCAAGATCAATCCCTGGCAATAAATCTTATTTTTGTTGAATGAATATGAAAATACCTTCGGGCATATATAGCCTACAAGCTCCACAATTATTAAAATATTAATATAAAATGTATTCAAACATAAGCAGTTATGATTATGTTGCATATTTAAATTATTTCCATAATTTGACCCATGAACAAGTAACTATGCCTAGTATATTTCATATAGAGTTAAATTTACACCTTTTTTCTCTTAAAGGTTATTTGAAATTTCAAATGGTAACAAGCTTGGAATTGTTTTTTTCTTCAACTATGGACTGTATCAAAGTTTATGAGCTATAATTGTCTTTTGGTTTCTGCCAGGCATCAGGATAGCTCATTTGCATGACTGATATAAAATTTACTTATTCAATGAATGATGCGCTGTACTAACCCATCTCTGTAATAATAACTGCAGTGTGACTAACAATAACTAATCTTGTCTCAACTACAAAAGCACGTAAATTAGTAAAATAAATGTTTAGTTGTGTATGTGCATGTGTTTGCATGTTGGAGTTGGGGTGGATTATGCTCTTTGATTTCAATGCAATGCTGCACACTCTTTATACAATCTGGAGAAAAAAAATGTGCAGAAAAACGACAGTCAATCCTAGCCATGAATCAAGTCACTATATCTATTCTCTTAGACATAAATACCACCTAAAACTTTATAAATTAACACATTGTCTATTTTTTTTAGTGGTGAGGTATATTAGTCTGTTCCCACGCTGCTATTAAGAACTGCCAGAGACAGAGTAATTAATTAAAAAATAAAAAGAGATTTAATTGACTCACAGTTGTGCATGGCTGGCGATGCCTCGGGAAACCTACAGAAGGGGAAGCAAACATGTCCTTCGCATGGCAGCAGGAAGGAAATGTGCTGAGCAAAGGGGGAAAAGCCCCTTATAACATCAGATCTCACGAGATTTCACCCACTATCACAAGAACAGCATGGAGGTAACTGGCTTCATGGTTCAATTACCTCCCGCCGGGTCTCTCCCATGACACATGGGGATTATAACTACAAGATAAGACTTGGGTGGGGACACAGCCAAACCATATCATAAAGTCTCTTCATCACAACAACCAGATTAGAAACTTAAGCATTCCTGCATCTTCTTGGCACTCTTATGAATTAATGATCATAACAAAACAAATACAACTGAATAATCTCTTTTTCACTGGGATATGGAATTCAGTATAGCTTGAAGATACCTTTAAAATGTGGTATTAGAAACAAAGTCCAAATACTAGACAGTCCATTTAAACAATTGAGAGGAGAAGAATGACACAGGTATAGCTACTTGTTTTATTTAGGAATATAAATTAACTAAACATTTTATTAATATTTCTATAGCAGACTTTCAATAGTGATTTTCCAATAGATTTTAGGGTACTAAAACCATGATAATCTGAGATACCTAAAAATAGATAGCAAGATATTTTCAATTCCACTGAATATTAACTTATATACTGTTATAGATGATTTCTTTTATTCTCAGTAATTTTTAAAGTGTTTAAAATAAACACGCAACTGAATAAAATGGAGAAAAATAAAGACTAGATGTTATGTGATTCCATTAGTATAATATCTATGCATATATAAAAGATAGGCATACATCATACACAGTCCAGATGATACGTATAATATGTATATCATAGAGAGAAAAATTGGGGAAATAATTCAAACTAAACTGTTAACTAAGACTACTTGCAAAAGTGGCATCTTACAGAGGAGAGATTTGATTTTTAATTTTCAAACGTTTTACTTAAATTTATTACAATGAATGTATACAATAATTGAAAAGTATATAAAATGGCTCTGATGTATATTTTGCATGTTTCAATTTTATTTATTCAAAGTACGGTTTGTAATATGTATATTTTCAGCTTATTGGAAGCATTCAAAATAGAGTTATATTACCAATTTCCAGGCTAAATAAATGTTGCTATTTTTCCTCAGCATCCATGTGAAATGTCTATAGAGCCCAGCTTCCCTGCCTGTTTATAAACATTCAGAGGACCCTGGTGTGATCAGGGGCATCATTACATTACTGCTTAATAGCACACACTGTTGATACATTAATTGCTTTATTGACTATTTTTTAAAGTTTATGACCTCATCTGCATTCCAATTTGACCTTGCTTTGCACTTTTTTAGAGAATCACCACATTCAACGACCTATATAATATGTATTATACTAATACATTTATGAAATGAAAAAAAGAGCTAGCTGATATTCACCTCATTTTTTAAAATAACTAATTCATTGTTAGGTAGACTCTATATTACAAAGAATTGCATAATCATAAAACTATGATGGTGTAGTTTCATAATTAGAAAAGATGTTCCAATTTTTTTTGTAGTTTTCTTTTAAACAATAGTTACCAGATGAACAGTCTGGTCAATATTCTCATGGTTTGAGGCAAGGGAGATGGCTCTTAACTTCATATAGATGTCTTATTTGAAAATGACAAATGGAATCAGAATGTTCTCCTTGACACCATAAATAACTGTTCAAAATAGGATTTTAAATGGAAATTTTACTAATTTATTTTATTTTTTTATTTTTTATTTTTTGAAACAGGGTCGTGCTCTGTTTCCCAAGCTGGAGTGCAGTGCTACAATTATAGCTTATTGTGGCCTCCAACTCTTGGGCTCAAGTGATCCTCCTGCCTCAGCTTCCCTGGTCACTAGACTAAGGTGTGTGGCACTATGCTCAGCTGTTATTTATTTGTTTATTTTTGAGACAGGGTATGACTATATTGCCCAGGCTGTTCCCAAACTCCTGGGCCCAAGCGATCCTTGCACCTTTGGAAATTTTATTTCTAAAACCTAAATAAAGTCTTTGCTTCCTAACAAATAAAAGCTGACTGGGAAACGTTTCTTAGTTAATTGAGGCCATAGAAATTTGGTTAGGATTGCAATACGAAAATTAAATCTTTCAGGCCGGGCGCGGTGGCTCAAGCCTATAATCCCAGCACTTTGGGAGGCCGAGGCGGGTGGATCACGAGGTCAAGAGATCAAGACCATCCTGGTCAA